GAGATTGCTCAATTTGCAACGTCCTCCTCAGACTCTAGAAGCACTTCGAGAGGAATTGGTGGTTGCCTGGAATGAGATACCACAGGAGGACATTGACCACCTGATCAGAAGCATGCCTCGGCGCGTTGGTGAATGCGTAGCACATCAGGGTGCATCCACACATTATTAAAGGTCAAGGGGCTTTAAAGCAGTGCAATCATTTTGAAATTTTTATCATTTACTTATTATGCTTCATTAAGTACTTATACAAAATTTTATTAAAATAAAACCATTTAAACTGGGTGTTCGGATTTATATGTCACTTAGTATACTTCGGGCGTATACCATGGTAGATGTTTCGCGGGGTTATCTCGAAAAATAATTTTGTCAGGTTGTATTTAAAATTTATAACATCCTTTCGTTGTTTATTACTTATTATTATATATTGTGATTCATGTAATATCTTATTTTATTTGGCTCTCTCTGTGTGTACTGTTACTTAAATTTCGTCATGTTAGATTCTCGTTTTGTATGGTGGTCAAGCAAAACAAGTTCCGACTAACATCTCGGGGAGTTGTGGCTTAATCCGTCCTAAGTCACTGGCGTTCTTAACGACTCTCCGCTTTGTTGAGCTAGGGCCAAAATTTGCCACTAGACAACTGTTTTGCTTGGACCAACGGTTAGATAGTAGTTATCATTGTGTTTTATTAATTAACCGAAAAAGGCGAGGCAAACTGTCACCCGTTTCCCGCTTGACGTCGACTTCTGGGACAACATGTATACGCCACTGGCAAGTATCCACTAACTGAAGTTCTTCAATCTCCAATGTAAGCGTCGTAATATATCAAAAGTTTCCATCTGCGATCAACTTTATTTGCACACTATATCCGTTAGTAACATCGTAGGTAACCCTTCCGATTATAACAAGACGCGCAAATCAACATTTGCCTATTTGCTTAACGCACACATTAGAATTCATTGATTTCATGTCTGGAAAAGTAAAGAAAAACAATCATCAGAATTCCTTATACAATTATCACTCGGCGTCCACAATGTACTTAACATTTTTGTGGCATACTCAGTTATCATCTTAATCATTTTTATTTTCATTAACTTTGTTATCTGCAAATATGAATTGAGTACGTCGCAGTTGTGCTCTTCAGTACAGGCAACAATAGAAGGACTTAAGCTATGTAGGTTAGTAGATAATCAAGATAATGCTCGAAGGTTTCCTCTACAAGTTTTCCATATGGAACTATTAGAAGTATTTCATATGAACCATTTACATGTCGATAACAACATCCGTATTTCATATTTGTGGAAGGAAAAGGTTGTGTAATTTGTGCCATTGGAATATTTTATGAAATAAGTCCTGAATTACTTCTCTGCAAAGTATGGTGATTTAAAGTAAGATCACAAAATGTACAGCAAAAGGCTTATACAGGGTGTCCCGAAAAAAGTGTGCAATATTCTACCAGCGGTTTCTAGAGCTTAAAATAGGAAGAAAAGTTTATACAGGGTCCGGCAATGAAACGGGAAGATTTAGGGTGGGGCTTGCAGTGGGCGGTGAAGTGGTAGGGAGGACAGTCACAGACCTGTCGGGACCCGAGTGGCTTGCCATTTAGTCTACAATGGAGCGTTGGACGGGTGAGCATCGCGGTTACGCAATTAAGGCTTATTACCAAAATGGCGAGAGTTTAGTGCAAACGCGTCGAGATTTTAGACGGCATTTTAACATACCGCGTAACCAACCGGTTCCGTCAGACCATGCGATTCGAATGTGGCTAAACAACCTCGAGCAAACTGGATCAACGTCTAGAGAAAGAGGTGGTAGTGCCAGAACGATTCGAACCCCTGAAAATATTGAACGTGTTCGACAAGCCATTTTAAGAAGTCCACGTCGATCGGCCATCCGTCACGCCACACGCCTTCGATTAAGTGACAGATCGGCGAGAAGGATTCTCCATCAAGATCTTCGATATCACCCGTATAAAATACAGGTTGTTCAATCTCTTCACCCGGATGATTATCAACAGCGTCTCAGATTTTGTGAGGTTATGCTTGCAAGGCTGGAAGAAATTGATGACCAGGTTAACAACTTGTGGATGAGCGATGAGGCACATTTTCACCTCTCCGGTTTTGTTAACAGACAAAATTTTAGATACTGGGCGGAGGCTAACCCTCGTATGCTTCATGAATCACCTCTTCATGCTCAGAAAGTGACAGTATGGTGTGCAACGTCTGCAAATGGAATCATCGGTCCGTATTTTTTTGAGGATGAGGCTGAAAATGCTGTTACCGTTAATTCTGAGAGATACGTTTCAATGATTCGGAACTTCCTCACACCTGAACTCTACCGCTTTCCAGTTAATGAACACACACTTTTTCAACAAGACGGTGCAACAAGCCACACTGCAAGAATTTCGATGAATGCGGTGAATGCTTTGTTCCCAGGGCGTGTCGTTTCTCGAAACGGGGATATTGCTTGGCCCCCTCGGTCTCCCGACCTTACTGTCTGCTACTCTTTTATTTCCCAGTATGGTATTACTAATTACAAAAAAAGTATTTTTTCGATAATAAAATTATTTACGAAATCTTCCCGTTTCATTGCCGAACCCTGTATAAACATAGGCCGACAAACGTCCCCTAAGAGCGCTACGGTCTTTTAAAGGGGCTCCCCCTTAATATTTCCGAAACGTGTTGAGATAAAGACATAAAATTTGGTATTCTAGCCTAGTTTTTTATGCCGGATTTAAAAATATTAACAATTTTAGACAGTTTTGTTTGAAAGCGTATGTAACAGGGACGGACTCAGGTTATTTGAGCCCCAAAATTTTTGTGTGATTCTATTTTTAAAATTCAGTTTTAGAATTTGAAAATTTAGGATTTTCTACATAAAAAAGGTATTCTTATTGAATATCGATAAATTGTGCCATTTTTGAATAAAATCAAACTAAAAAATTTGTCACATGATAGGAAATGTACTGCGAATTTGCCATGGCAATGAAAAAACCAATTTAATAATTGGTAAATATTACATAAATACATATTTCTATTGCAACATAGCTAACATTTAGGCAAAAACAAAAGAAATAAATTTTTTCTACGAACGAAATTGAAATTTGTTTAAAAAAGAAGACATACTGTTGGATATACTTAAAACTAGCTTTACAATAAGTGTTCAAATAAATTCTCATTTTGTTGGATACAGAGTCTCGCCCGACGAACTAATGATTGCGTAGCCCGAAAAGTGGAAAACCTTTTTCTTCTTATTTCATTTGCAGCCTGATGGATTCTTTGAAGCAAGTCTTCTTGAGTATTTACTTCAGTCGAGTAAACTAGGTGTTTTAATGACCCCCAAAAATAGAAATAAAATGGATTTAGGTCAGGTGAACGTGACGGCCACGCTATAGGAGCTCCCTGATTTCCCAGTGGCCTTCCTGAGCCCTGTATGCGCTGAAAACTTCCATGGTTCGACAAACTCCGGTGAATATCAGTAAACATTCGACGTCCAGGTACTATGCGATTGGGAAATCTTATTCTCTTACGGCTGCCAATGAACTGCCATTGCAAAACCCGTACACAAAATGCATGTCAGTCAGTTCTCTGTCTGTAAATCTTGGCATTTTAAATCGATTTAATAAAAATTTTGATTTTAATCTAGTAATTTTACACTGCTAACAATGTCAGCTTAACGTCAAAATAAGTCATAACAAATCAAAACAATTTTTCTTTGAAGTCATGGGTAACTATGTATAATCAACAATTCATTTAAATTCGCAGTACATTTCCTATCATGTGACAAATTTTTTAGTTTGATTTTATTCAAAAATGGCATAATTTATCGATATTCAATAAGAGTACCTTTTTTATGTAGAAAACCCTAAATTTTCAAATTCTAAAATTAAATTTCAAAAATAGAATCACACAAAAATGTTGAGGCTAAAATAACCTGAGTCCGTCCCTGTTACATACGCTTCTAAACAAAACTGTCTAAAATTGTTAATATTTTTAAATTCACCATAAAAAACTAGGCTAGGATACCAAATTTTATGTCTTTATCTCAACACGTTTTGGAAATATTAAGGAAAAACCATCTTCAGGGGAGCCCCTTTAAAAGACCGTAGCGCTCTTAGGGGACGTTTGTCGACCTATGTTTATATAAACTTTTCTTCCTATTTTAAGCTCTAGAAACCGCTGGTAGAATATTGCACACTTTTTTCGGGACACCCTGTATATTCACGTATTCTTAATGTACAGTTTAATGTATAAAAACTAAAATATTTTATGACCCCATAAAACAGATGCCACTTTATCAGTAGATTCGTGTTAGGAAAATCCACTTTTTAGACATTGCACATTTCGTACTTGATATATGCACCATAAACATTAATTTCATCGTTAGTTGTGTTAATTGAGTATAAAAATTATCAACTGTATCAAGTCTAGTTAATAAATAAGCAGATATCCACACGAAAATCCTATCAGATAATCGTTGGTGCAAAAATAACGCCGCGATTTCGAACAATGCGAATTATTCATTTCAATTTTGATGCGACTTAGTGTTTTCATTTATTTTAGAATTATCTTTGATTTCCACCGATGGCGAGAAAAGCAACACATCCTGAGTTGTTGTTACATTTTCGCTCATCTATCATCATGGAGGTGTAAACCTTGCATTGGATTGAACGAGATGCAATATTAGAACCGTTTTTTCCCCGAAGGGTAAAAAAACGGATATTTTGGGTCTAGCCGAGGCTTGACCCTCGGAGATTGCATCTTACCTTTTTTCCTCGCTACCCCACGTATAGAGCCCCCTTTTTAGCCCATATCCCCAGCCGCACGCCCATGTGCGCTCCGGGGTCCGTCTAGCGTGCGCGCGACCTGAGTCGGTGGGCGGCTGTTAGCAGCGCGCTCATCAGTGCTGATCCGAGGCGGCAAGTCATCAACTCGGGTCAAACCTCGGCTAGACCCAAAATATCCGTTTTTTACCCTTCGGGGGAAAAACGGTTCTATTTTAGGTCTCAGCCTTCGGCTTGACCCTCGGAGAAGTCTTTGGTTTCTACCGACTCAAGTCGCGCACTGTGACAGGCTAAATGGAAAATAAACGCAAAAGCATTTAACAAAACAATGAATAAAAACTTTATTGTGGTTCATAACGTACTATAATATAAATATAAGTAGGAACTTAAATGAGATCTTCTCCTCTTGATTCAGTAAAAATAAAAGTAATACTGAGTACATGTACTCAAAATTGTAAAGAACAGTAAGTTCACTGCTTTCCACTACTCCGGCTGAAAAGCTTCACTGAGGTAGTTATGTGTCTCAGTGTTCGACTGGTTTTGTATTTCCTTGAAATAGCGCTTGAGAAATGTGTCCTAGCGTCGCCAGTTCCCCCTCATCGCCATCAGCTCGTCCAAGGATGAGTTACATACCCGAAGACACTGCTGAGCGAATGCTTCCTGGAGAGGCTTCAAGGCCCGCCGCCGTAAACGCCGTTCGGATCCAACCTGCGATGATTGCCCTAGATGCTCCCTTCACTTTGCCTCTTGTAGTGATGAAAAGTGAGGTTAAGTCATTGGTGGCGTTTCTTCTGGAAGATACTATCCTCTGCAGGTGGGTTGGAAACCAGCCACTGTATGATAGTGAAAACACTCCATATGGATTTCCTTGGAGGCTGCTGTTTCAACTTAATGGCATTCTTTGTACTAGGGCATTTGAGGCTAAGAGCTTAGATTTTTCCAGATTTGCAAAGGTACATACTACCGACTTGTGTAATGCTATCGTATTCGGGGATAACTTACAACTTCTAGACAAGTAGCATAGGAATTTAGCCTGATCCGTTGCCCTTCGATTATCTGCACTACTCATATTTTGTTTAGTCCAAGACTTCCATCTTCCTTCAAGTCGTCGCACCTGGGAGGAGGTGGATTTCCCGTTACCAGGAGATTCATCGACAAGTTGGGAATCACTATTGGCCGTTCTACTGCCCTGCTCTGAAGATCTGGACGCCAAAACACCTTTTCCCAGCTTGGCGCTATCAGGATGTAGAGCCCCGATGCTGAGTTCAGATGGGACAGGACTCTCGGGATAAGAGCCGGTGGTGGAAATGTCCACACCAACTGGTATGTCCATTGTCTGCTGAATGCATTTATGTAGTGAGCATTGTAATCTGTTGCGTCCAGGCTGACGTACTTCGGCACCACGGCCGACAAGTCTGTTGCAAGGAGGTCCACTTCCGGTGTCCCCCATTTCTGAAAAAGTTGCTGTGTGATTACATTCGACAGAGACCAGTCTGGAAGAGGGCGGCCCCTGGAAAGGTGATCCCATTGCATTTTCCCGGAATATACTGAGGTTGCAGCGTGATGTTGAATTTGGAACAAGTTTCGAGTAATTCTTTTGTCAGCTGCAGCAGTTTGATCGACTTCGTCCCCCCTTCCTTTCTGACATAAGCTATTACCGTGCGGTTGTCCGTCTGCAGCAGTACAATGTGGTTCCAATGTGGTTCCTTAGTACCATTGTATTTCTCTTGATTGCATCGAGAACTGCCCAAAGTTATTTGCAGTTGCTCTCGATCCACGTTCCTGAGATCCCCAACCCCAGTCGGACGCGTCTGTTGTCAGGTAGCTCATCTTCTTCGTAATCCACACTGGTGAAGACTGCTCTACATGCATCAACCATCACTGGAGGTCTTTCAGAACTGGTTTGGGGATTGGCGACCTTGTCTTTGAGAATTGGGGGAGTCTGTTGGATGTTTTCTGTGCTCTGCGGCAGTGTAGGCGACCTAAGGGTACTGCAAATTCCGCGAAATTCAGCCGTCCCAATAGCCCTTTCGCCTCGCGCCAGTTCCATGACTCTCTCTGAATAAACCTCTGGGTCTGTTTGCGGATGCGGTCCACTTTGACTTGTGAGAGCCGTTTCTCGGCTTTGTGGCAATCCCACATAATGCCCATGTACTCTATCGTCGTCATTGGGCTCTCGGTGGTCTCTGTTTTGTTTATCATGAAGCCTAATTTTGTGAGCAGCTCCACCGCTAGCTGTGCATGTTGTTTGATTTGCTGTCGATTTTGACTCGCTATGAGAAAATCGTCCAGGTAACCTACCAGTCTGATGCCGCTTGACCTCAAAAGTTGTGCTACCCAATTGGTAATCCTGGCGAAAACCAATGGTGCGGTCGAGATTCCGAATGGTAGGCATGTCATGTGATAGATTTTTCCTCTGTATGAGACGGACAAAAACCTGCGATGTCCCTCATGGATTGGAATGTGGAAATAGGCATTTTGCAATTCGATCTTCATCAAATAATCGTTTTGCTGAAGAAAACTGAGAATCCCCTGAAGGTTGATAAGCCGAAACGGCTTTGGACTCAAAAACATGTTTAGGCGTTTTAAGTTTACGACAGGCCTCATCTTCCCGTCTTCTTTGGGTACCAGAAAAATGGGAGATATGAAGCCGCTTTGATAAGTTCTGTCTCGATAGATCAACTTGCTAATAGTTTTGTTATTTCTTTGTCCATATCCTGGGACTGTTGTGTTTACAGCGCCGCCGGTATACAAGCGTTCAACCTGGTCAATGGCGGTTGTGAAGCAAAAGGAATTTTGTACCCCTTTATGGTGTTTAAAATAAATTTTGGAGCTTATAGCAGTTGCCACTCTTTGTCAAACGTCCTCAGCTGGCCAGCCTGAAAACTGTCAAAAATGCTTCCGGGCTTTCTTTTCCTTGGACGGTTCAGACTGTCCTACGATGTTTCTTTGCCTTTTCCTTCCCTGCTTTGAGACTGCTTGACTACTGGAGCCCACACTACGTGACCCCATTCGATTTGTTGGTTTTTGCCTATGCGAGGCCTCCTGTTTTTCGGCTTTGGTTATGGAATGATAGGGTACTCTCTTTGGAAAAAAATTATAATATCCTCCATGACTCTTGATTGTTTTCATTAATTTTCCTTCATCGAATAAGTGGGTTGTGGAGGGGGATCTGCTTTAGCAAGTTAGTCATGTAAGTTGAAGCTGACCTAACTAGGTCCCTCGTACGACTAATAACATCTGCACTCCTGCCGCATGTCAGTTGCAGCAAGTCATCTGACACAGATCTAAATTCCGTATCACTACCACTGATATTTTCAAAGATTGCCTTTTTTATTTTCTATACCCCTAGCAAGAATTTGACGTTGCTTTAGAAGTCCATGGGAAATAGCTGCCAATGTTTGATAAAATTGCGCCAAGACCTCACTAGAGCACCATTTTGGCTCCTTATTTTTAATTTGTTCGTTCATTTTAAGTGCCATAAAAATGGGTGTGGCTTGTAACCGCTTCTGAGCATCAGCATATCGGATTTTGTTCTATCCCGATAGCCCTAAGCGTTGACAGGTAGCTCATTGCTCAGCCAGACACATATCAGCCTGAGGGACTATCGGCTCCAATTCTCTAACATCCGGAAGGAAGTCCACCAAGGGCCGATCCCGTTCCTCGTCGCACATCAATCCGGGTAATGATCCTACGTCTTCTTTCCTATTACCAAAGCTGCCCGCTCTGTCGTCATCTTCTGATTCCGAGTAACACTCCGGGTTGGACTGACCCTGAAGTAACTGTTGTAGGAGGTGTTCAATATTTTGGGTCTTCGCTGTTAGATCTGAGATTGCATTCTCTGTCTCCTCCAAGCGTTTCGATTTGGTTAATCGATCAGTCTTCGTTGACGAAGCTCTCCTCTTTCTCACCAGATTCTCTTTGTTATCTCCTCTCAGCAAGCTGTTCGCTTCCTCCCTAGAGACTATGCCCCATTTTACTTCATCTATGGCTCTGCTGAATAGTTCATATTGGGCTGCCGACCCCCTTATCTTTATGCCGATGGTAACTGGATACAAGTGCGTCTTCATCAAAAGCTTTGATCAATCCGACCGTTGGCAGGGCATATCTCAGTTTATTGAGAATATTTGAATCCGGCCGTCTACCTACTATGGCCCGTTAGCTGCATAGATTTCGCCCGACTGCTATCACATGCTGGGCCGACGGCCGCAGCATCCTGGTCCGACGGCCGCGTAGATTGGGGCCGGCGGCCTTGAGAGTTCCGCCCGTCGGTCGTGGAAACTTTGTCCGACGACCACGTAGATTGAGTCTGACGGCTCTGGGGATTCCGCCCGTCGGCTATAGAACTGGGAATTCCGCCCGTCGGCTATAGCACTGTCGTCCGACGGCCACGTAGAGTGGACCCGACGGCTCTGGGAGTTCTTCCCATCGGCCGTGGAAGCTTTGTCCGACGGCCACGTAGAGCGGGTCCGATGGCCCTGGGAGTTCCGTCCGTCGGCTGTGGGACCTCTAGCCGACGGCCGTAGGTAATCAGGTTGCTACTTGTGAGACAGCCCTGGGAAGTATCCCCAAGGTTCGGTACTTTGGGCTAATCGGCTGCGAGTGGGATGCTCTGCAGCTTGTGCTCTAGACAGGGCTGAATGGCTGCACTCAGTAGCCAACTTCATATAGTTCTATCGTAGAAATACTATCCTGAGAGGAACTTATGTAACAAAATGGTATGAAAAATATGTCGCTATCGGATGTGACACAGTCACACCTAAAAAATGTATGAACCACAATATCAAATGACAATAAGGTACTTGCTGCTTCACCAGTTCGACACTATTGCACACGAGATTGCGTACTCGCGAGTGAGGTGCTCTACCATGCTATCGCGGTGAAAAAAGAAAGCGCACTGATGAGGATGAACCGGAGCGCACATGGGCGTGCGGCTGGGGATATGGGCTAAAAAGGGGCTCTATACGTGTGGTAGCGAGGAAAAAAGGTAAGATGCTATCTCCGAGGGTCAAGCCGAAGGCTCATACCTAAAATGGAGAATTTGTGGCGAACCTGATCTTTTGTTTCGGAAATGGAGCGCCGTTAGGACCAATCCGAAATCGATCCTAAAAAAATTCGACACAATTCACAATTCAAAAATGTATACGTTCAAAATAAAATTTTTTTTGGCGCAGAGAATCAACTGACGCATATTTTCAGCATGCATCTTAATTCAAGAAACTGGTGTAACATATTGGAAACGCGGTGATGAGCTTCGCGATCCATCCTGTTTCTATTTCTTTCTAACATATGTA